GGGGGGGGGGGGGGGGGGGCGAAGGTGCACAACCAGTAGGCAGTTGAGGCTGCGAGAGATGGCGGGGTGCCTCCCCTGAAGTGCAGCTGACGCTTTGAGAGCAAGGGTGGCGCCGCGCAGCCGTGCACATGCTTAAACGGGGCTGCCTTGCACGTGCCCGCACTCTGCGGCTGCATGCACTCAAGGCACGCAAAGCGCACTGCGGCCCCGGGACTGCATGCAGCCGCTCACGTCGAAGCAGTTGAAAGGCGACGTAAAGTAGGCGCGCCCCTGCGCCGCGATCTTGACCAGCGCCTCCGCCAGGAACACAAACGACAGCACGTTGTTGGCGAGGTCCAGGGCGGCCGCGTACGAGTCGCTCATGCTGGCGTACTGCATCGACAGCAGCACAGTATTAGCAATGACCGCCATTATCACGGCCGCCTCGAACGCCCAATGTTCAGTGATCGCCTCAAACAGCGCCCAGCCGCGGGCCTTGGCGAGGCGCTCCAAGGGCCCCGGCAGCTGCTGCCAGTAGAAGCTCGCGGCGCGGGCCTTGGCAGCCGCCAGGGCGCGCGAAAACGCCGACGGCGGCGCCTCGCCGGCGGCGGCTGCTTCGCGCCTTTCCCGCTGCTGCTCGTCCACAAAGGCGCCTGTTTGTGGTGGGGTGGGCGGTATGGGCGGCGGTTGGCAGGGAGGGAGCATTGCCAAAGCAGCGGCGGCGGCGGCGGCCGCAGCATCAGCAGCAGCGGCGGCAGCATCCGTATCAGTGGTGGCAGCAGCAGCAGCAGCAGGGGCAGCAGCAGCAGCAGCAGCGGCGGCGGCGGCAGCGGCAGCAGCAGCGGCAGCGGCAGCGGCAGCGGCAGCGGCAGCGGCAGCGGCAGCAGCAGCGGCAGCGGCAGCGGCAGCGGCAGCGGCAGCGGCAGCAGCAGCAGCAGCAGCAGCAGCAGCAGCAGCAGCAGCAGCACGTGCAACCCGATTGCAATGAGACTCTCGCAAGCAGGGGACCAGCAGCACCCGTCCGCCCACCTGCCAGTGTCGCCAGCACCAGCGACAGCACCAGCACGTAGCCCACCACCAGGAGGGTTACAAAGTAAACGTACGCCCAGCCGGCGGTGGCGTTCATGGTGGGCCGCAGCACCTTGCTCCAGTCAGCCGCGGTCATCGTGATGAACATGGGGATGACGCTCGTCCCAAAGTTGTCGAACGAAAGCTGCCCCCCCTCCGGCGCCGCGCCGCCCGCCGCGCACGTCTCCTCGGCCGGGCAGCCCGGGCCGGGCCACGGGCCTGTGAAGAGGCTGCAGGTGTTGCCGCTGGCCGACGCAGTGTCGTTGCCGGACCCGGCCACGCAGTTGTTGTGCATGGGGTCTTGGAACAGCTGCATGCCCAGCACCCCCCACAGCACCACGATGAAGGCGATGCCGGCGCCGATGGTGCTGAGCGCCGGCGCCGCCGCGATCAGCGCGTTGATGCTGGTCTTGAGACTGGGCAGCGCGCTGACCACGCGCAGCGGCAGCAGCAGCCGGAACGCCCGCAGGGCGCTCGCGCCGCTGCCGACGCCGGGCAACAGGCTTATGAGGCTCAGCAGCACGACGATGAAGTCAAACACGTTCCAACCCACCCTGAGGAACGGCGGCTGCGTGTCATCGTCGGCGCCGCCGGCGGATGCGGGCCCGCCGCCTTCCAGGCTGACCTCTGCAATCAAGGCCCCGCTGCCATTGCTGCTGTCGCCGTCGGCGTCGCGCGCGGCGTCCGTGTCGGCGCCGGCTGGCGGCGTGGCCGCGGCGTCCTTGGAAGCAGGGGGTGCGTTGCTGCGAGGCGTGGTGTTAGAAACAGGCCCCGATTCAATGTCCTTGCTGGTCAAGGCCGTGGCTAATGCTGCTGCTGCTGCGTCTGCGTCGCGCGCGGCGCCGCCGCTGCTGCCCTCCTCGCCTCTGACAGCCCCGTGATGAGGCCGGCCCGCATCGCCCGGCCGCCCGTGATCGCCGGCGCCGGCCCCGTCTGGCCCCCCCTCCACGTCAGCCGGCCCGGCCAGCTTGCGCCACAGCCGGCGCGCGCCGCGCCCCGCCGCCGCCAGGACGCCCATCGGCGTCTCGCCGTCGCGCAGGACGAGGCCGAACGCGAGGATTTTTATTGCCAGCTCGAGCGTGAACCAAACCGTGAATCCGATGTTGGAATCCTCAACCACGAGGTTTGCCGGCGCCGTCGGCGGCTGCGCCGGCTGGGAGGTGCCCAGTATGGCTGCATAGGCGACGATGGCGCATATGGACAATCCGCGGAACGCCCGGCTCTCGGCGAAAGTGATGAGGGCGCGGCGCGCTGGCGATGAAAGCGGCAGCACGCCCAGCGCGCGGCCGACGTACCCGCCGCGGCGGCCGCGCCACGGCTGCGCCGGCGGGGCGGCGCCGGGCGGCTTGGCCGGCATCGCTGCGTGTGGCGGCTGCGCCTGCTGCCGCTACGCGCGTCGAACTGTGGCTGTGCACGCGCAGGCTGTGCACGCGGCGCGTTGCGAACCTGCGTTGGCATGGCGTGCAAAGCAAGGTGTGAGAGCAGCACTCGCTGATGTGCTGCGCAGCGCCGTCTACTTGCTCCGGATGCCAATGCATGGGGACCCCTGATCCCGGTGCCCCCTGCAATGCGTCTGACCGAGCTCCTGGCGGGTGTGTCGACGGCGGCGGTGCCGCCACACCCTGCTATCTTCTGCCTGGTTGCTCAGCCAGCCAGTTGAAATGAGAATTTTATTTATGCGTGGTATCCGCCAGTAGTCCTCTGCGCGCCGAGCTCGCCAGCAACGATGTTCCTTTGGTGGGTGCTTTACGTGTTCAGTGTGTACGAGCCGCAACATGCGGCAAAAAGACAAAGCCCTCACAATGCACCACCAGACCTGGCCCGATGGTGGCTATCCTAGACCGCCTGGCGTAAGGACTACGCACAGGACCTGCGGCACTAAGTGTTCGTATCGACTGACCCGTTGGGGGGGATCCCTGGTCAGCAAGCATGATCGAGACGCATCTGGTTTACATGTCAGGCGCTCCATGCAGGCTCCCACGGCCTGTCACCTGGCGCGCAAAATCAGCCATGGCCGATGAGTGCCGCCGCAATCATGTGCGCGCAGCCGCATTTCGGGGCCACGCATCATACGATCCAGGAGGTTTCAAAATCAAGTGTTAATCTAGAAGGCAAGAAAATGCTCTTGTGTGCACTGGGGTCAGCGGGACCAGGAACCTGTTGCGAAAAGCATGAATGTAGCGGGAGGCTAAGGCTCTGGGCTGCAACACACGGGATTTGTTGCTGCAAAGCGAGAGCTCTGCTCAGGCTGCGCCCTGTTCCTGCAGATCAAGCGGAGGTCTGAATTCCAGGCGAATCTCAGGTGCATTGGCTCTCCCCTCAGTCAGCCGCCTGCAATGTGGCTTCGCGGTCCTGTGGCCTGTGGGCCTAGTAAACAGTACTTAGTGCCGCCCCAGGCCTTGTGTAACGTTGTGTCGGGGCGCCACAGCGGGCAGGGTAAGGCCCACGCTGCGCTGGACGCGTTGCAAAAGAACTTTGTTGCCGGCGGCGGTTGGGACTGGTCATTCTGCACGACAGCTGTAAGACCGCATTGTATTCAAAACTACCGCATCCCACACTCGCCGAACTCAACCAGCAGCAGACCGGGAGCGGCCGGGGGGCGGGGCGGGTGCCAAGGGGGGGGGGGCACGAAACGTCATCCAAAATCCTGTATGGTAGCAGCTATATCGTGTTTGCTGTTCACTAATGTTGCAGGTCCCCGCACCTCAAGGTGCATGTGCTTGTGCGTGCACCACGCCATCATTTCTTGTAGCAGAGCAACCCTGACCCCAGGCTGCCTGAACCCGAGCAGCAATAGCAAGGACACTCATGCCGTCGTGTGCGTCAGCGTCAGCTGGACACCGCAGGGCTTGACACAAGTATGTCATGCATGGACGCACACAAGTGTCCAATTGCCCAGGCCCACACCGATTTGTAGTGGCCTCATACAGCCGCTTGAAGTTGTGGAGAGCTTGTATTTGCGTCGAGGGGGGTGGGGCTGCATCAGAAAAAGTAGCCCAGCTGGGCTCGCAAATGCGCCCGCCCCCACCTCCGCCCCCGAGCACTTACCGCCTAGCTCCAATCGCAAGCGATGCCTGCAGTGCCAACGATCCAGTCAGTCCACATACCACCAGAATTGCGATGCATTCGCCACCCGGCTCCCCACCGTCGGGGAGCCTCTATTTGGCCTAGATTCAGCTGCCGCCGCGTAGCCACGAGAGTCTCGCACGCAGACTCGAAGGAATTGTTCATTAGAGAGTACATAATTTATCACGACGAGCTCTGATCACCCCTTGGCTTGCGGTTGAACCATCGGTAGAACGGGCGCCGGACGCAGAATGGAGCTACGGAGAGCCCTGCTGGTATCCATGTTGCAAGTTTGTATCGCACAAGCTGCATGGGCGGCCGCCGTGGGCATCCCGGTGTGCGCTCCGGGCACACAGTCATGCGGCTCGCTGGCGGGCTGCTACGCGCCGATGTTTGCTGAATGCAAGGCGTCCCAGTGTTACCCCAAGCTTCTTGGTGAGCAGAAGCCATGTGACACAAGCCCGTGCAGGGTGGGGTGGTGAGAGCAAAAGCACCACGTGCGGGGGAACACGGCAGTGTAGCTGCTCCACGCAGGGGCAGCGAGAATGTGCACGCACTGCGCGCAGCCACACGCCCTTGCGCACACGGCGCATGGCACTGGAGGGCACAGACTGGCTTAAAATCACGAGGCATGTCTGGCGTGTCAGCACGCTCGGAGCACCGTGCCCGTTGGACGGCACGGGGGCCCCTCATGGCGTCGTCGCTGCTGCGGCCCTGCCGCCGAGCGGCGCGCGTGCGCACGCTGGCAATTCGCGGAGCCGCGACCAGAGCTTCCACCGCCCTCCATCTGCCTGCTTGCAGGCCTCGTCGCTTCCACGCCCGTCGGCTGCCTGCCGTACGTCAACAGCTGCGGCGCGGGCGCGGCCTTCTGCAGCACCGGATCATCTTGCGTCGGCGGCGCCTGCGTCGCCGGCCCCGGCGCCACCAGCAGCGGCGGCGGCGGCGCCACGGCGACCCCGCAGCAGGCCTGCGCGGCGGCGCGCGCGCAGCAGCACGCGTGCTCTGCGGACCGCACGCCGCTTGTCGCGGCGGATGGCGCAAAGCTCGGGTATGGCGTCCCCGATGGCGCCGAGTGCTACGAGTCGGCCTCCTTTAAATGCTGCGCCGTGGCGAGCTCCGACGCGGCCGCGCCTCAGGTTGCGTCCATCGTTCAGTCCTGCAAGGGCGCCGCGATTTTCGAGAGCGCGGTGGCGGGGCTGGTCAACGGCACGACCGCTCTCCTCAATTCGGTCTTCTCTGCTGGCAACAACACAACCGCGGCCGCCGCACCCGGCGCCGCCGGCGGGCAGCAGCCGGCGCTGCTCACGCCGCTGCTGCAGGGGGTCGCAGGCATGGTCACCAACATGTCTCAGGCGCTGCTCGCGCCGCTCGGGATCCGGGTCAACTCAACCAGCCCCGAGGCGCGCGCGGCGCGCGCGGCCGCGCCGCCGCCGCCGCCGCCGAGCTACCTACAGTATGTCAACAGCGCCTCCCCACGCGGCAGCTTCGCGGCCGCGCTGGTGAGTCGCCCTTCTTGCCGCGGCGCACTTTCCGCCATCGCGCGAGAGGATCGGGACGTGCGGGGGCTGTGCCTGCCGCGAGGGTCGGTCCGGCAGCCTGCTTCGCCCCTGATGCTGGGGTTGGGGTGCTGCTCCCGCTCCTGCTTTCCTGCTTGCTCGCGACACCAAGCCGTCCCCCCAACCGCTGCCGTCGCAGGTTGGCAGCGCGCTGCTCCTGGCGCTGGCGCTGTGAGGGCGGCGCAGGGATGGCGAGTGCGGCAGAGCGGGCGGAACGGGGTGGGAGCGGTAGCGGCAGGCCCTGGGGTTGGGCCTGTTTCGCCCAGCTGAATAAGCACGGGACTGCAGAGTCCCTGCGCCTTGCTGGACTGAGGGTGTTGAGGAGCGCCGCGTGCACGTGAGTTTTTGCTGGCTGCACAAGCACAGCCATGTGGGATTTCTTGAACAAAACCGAACAAACATCGGTCGTGTACACAGTCATTGTTGCTCCTGTCCAGCCACGCCTCACACATTGTCATCACCCCATGTTTCTGTTGTAAACTACAGCGCATGCTCCTCTGGTTGAGGGCTTTGTAGATAATGGAGAGCGAGGGTTTTCCTGTCCATAAGATTTCCCCCTCGCCGCTGGCAAAGTGTGATGCACTGTGAACAGTAGTCTTACCACAGTCTCACCTCCTGTTGTCGTGCCGATGCGGAAGAATCCAATCAGGAATCATTCACTGTAATGCAGGCACCAGGAATACGCGCACACCAGGAGCCTGCATGCCAGTGTTGCCTGGTCGCAAGGACTGCATGTTAGGAGCAAGATGGACGCGACGCATGGGCAGCATGCATGCGTGTGTCGTGCGGATGATGAAAGACTTGAACCCCTCCATCATCCCCCCATGTCTCTACCTATTTTTCCATACGACCTTCTACACAGTGCTGATGGCGCCCCTTTGCCGCCGCTGTCCTGTTTAGGCTATTAGGCCCTTCCCAACAAAACTGCGGGCAGCAGCAACGATTACAGTTGTAACCGCCGGGGTATACAGGGGCTGGAGGTGGCAGCACAGGTGGCACAATGCCTGGTGCAAACACCACACATGGTGGGAACACGCACCGGGCGCCCGCTCGGCTGCCGGGAACAACGCTTCGGTCCGCCTATAGGCATGGCAACGTTCAAGAGCAAGAAAGGGGTTTGAAACACCCCCTCCGCGATAATCAATTCGGGGCGCCCTCTCGCCCCCCAGCGCCGGGCCCCGCAAAGGGACGGGCCAGGTAGGCGGGGTGCGCGCATTTTGGGTGTGCTCGGCCGGCGGCGCCAAACGGGACTCCTTGACAAGGACGTCATACCAGCCGCTCGCAGCCTTTCCATTCCCTCTGCTCTGAGTGGAGGCGGGGGTGAGGTTTTGTGTTATGAACGTGGTCCTTTGGTGAAGTATGCCTCGGAAAATAAGAAAGAAACTGCAGTGTCCTGAACAAAACAAAACCCTGAACAAACTACACCCTTTTTTTGACGGCAGCGGCGGCGGCTCTCAAGCCCACGCTGGCGAGAGCATCGCGCAGGGACGCCACCAGTCAACGGCACAGCACGCAAGCAATAACACGCACGGCACTAAAAATGGGATGGGACGTGGTGCCCAGTCGCACAGGCCAGGAAGGGTGGCGGCAGGGCCCGTTTATTGTGCCTCGGTAGAGCTGGACAAAGGTGGAGTCTGTACACAGAGAGGGTGCTTGGGAGGTGTTTGTGCAAGCGTTCGGGCTGCAATCTGGAGTCCAACAGAGGGCTGGATCCAGTGCAAGCCGCGGCAGCCCCCAGCAGAAGGCCAGCGGGGCGCGCGGCCCGCCCGGCAGGCTCCGTGCCCGACACATGGCGAAGCAAGGCCAGGCGCGCCTGGCCTTGCTTTGCAGCGCGGCGTGGCCCTGGTGAGGGCCGCGATTCATGCGCGCTGATGTGGCGGGGTCCCGTCACCGCTTGCCGCTGTTGAGCAGCATGACGCGGACTGAGCAGTCCGAGGCGCTCGACGCGCCGAGGCTGGGGGTGGTGAACCCGTCCTTGCAGGGCAGGCACCGCTGCCCCCCCGCCGAAGGCGAGTAGCTGCCGAGGGGGCACACGTTGCACGCCGTGCTGCCGGGCCCGTCGGCGAACTGGCCGGGCGGGCAGAGCGTGCACATCGTCGCACCCTGCTGGTACGAGAACGACCCAGGCGGGCAGACCGCGCAGGTAAGCGCGCTGCTCGCGGCGGAGCGGGTCGAGTAGGTGCCTGGCTGGCAGCGGCTGCACGTCCACGCGCCCGTCGCCCCTGTGAAGCCGCCGGCCGGGCATGACATGCAGCGCGCGGCGCCGGTCGAGGGCGCGAAAAAGCCGATTGGGCAGGGCGAGCAGGACTTGGAGGCGGAGCGGTCCGCGTAGTGGCCCTTGGGGCAGGCGGTGCACGAGGTGGCGCCGTTGGTCGACGTGAAGCTTCCCGCCGGGCAGGCACGGCAGCTGGCGGACCCCGCGCGGTCGGCGAAGTAGCCGGGGCCGCAAGTGCTGCAGGCGCTGCTGCCGGGGCGCGGCGCGGCCCGGCCGGCCGGGCACATCCTGCGCGCAGGTGGGTTTTATGAAGATGATGTTTCTGTTGGTGTGTTGCTTGGAGTGGCAAGGCATTGCAGAACGCTTGGAGTTGCGCATGCACAGACGGACCTGCGCGCCACCATGCATCTAGCGCCAGGGGCGGCGCGCAGCCCCACCACCACGCCACTGTGCCAAAGTGGGCCCTGAGCCCTCCCCTTCCCCCCCAAAGCCCACCCATACCCTGTCATGACAACCCACCGGCACGCCGTGGCGGACATGGAGCCACACTCCTGATTGAAGTGGCCCACTGGGCAGACCTTGCACGCGCTGCGGCCGCGGGAGTCTCCATACGTTCCGGCGGGGCACAGTTCACACTTCTTCTGCCCATACGACCGCTGGTAGCTGCCGCGCGGGCAGTCGCCGCACACGGCCGACCGGGGGTTGGGCGCGTACGTGCCTGGGGTCCAGGCCGGGCGGGGGCGGTGTTCGGGGTTTCATAGGGTTGTCAGGGGCGTCCATGCTGGTGCGCGACAAAAGCATGTTTGCTCGTGCTCATTATGCGCATGCCCTGCAATTCCTCAAATGACTCTCCCAAGGTGCAGCCCACCACGTGGCGAATGCTGACGCCGCATTGCTCGCTTTGCAGGGCGGCAACCTTTTCCCCGCCCTCACGTGAATGCAACACCCCAAAACACAGCAGTCCCGCAGGCGCCTCGCACCTGGCATGCAGACCGCGCACTTGCCGGCCGCCTCCCCAGAGCTCGACCCCGGCGGGCACGCCTGGCAAGACTCGCTGATGCTGCTGTCGCGGTACATCCCGGGGCTGCACGGGTTGCAAAAGTTCGAGCCCTCGGCAGACACCTGATAGCCGTCACCGCAGGCGACGCACTGGGTGGCCCCCGGGGCTGACGCAAACGTGTTGGACGCGCAGGTGTTGCAGGTGAACGAGCCATCCATGTCCTGGAAAGTGCCCACCGGGCAGTCGACGCATCCCTGCTGGCTCTTGGCGCCGAGGATGGGGCCGAAGGTGCCGGCCGGGCAGTTCTGGGGCGCGGAGTCGCCTGCGCACAGGGAGGCGGCGCGGGGCGGGGCGGGGAGTGTTGTAGACAAGAGTCGAGGGGAGTCGTCATCAGTTTGGTGGACAGTCAAGGTGCATTCGTTGCGGCTTGCATGCAGCTTTCATGCTTCTTAAGACGCAGGCTCGCGAGGCTTGCTTGTAATGCTCCTAAGACGCGAGAGCGCTCCACTCACCAGACTTGCCAGGGCAGAAGGTGCCCACGCCGCAGGGCACACAGAAGTCCGACAGCAGCCGGTTGGGGTCCTCCCCGGGCTCCGTGAAACCGTCGCCGTTGAGCATCTGGCGCGAGGTGCCTGCGCGTGGTGGCCATCGGACAGATTTGGCGGTGACAGTGGTGTGAGCAGATGTACGACCGGCTGCACGCCATTCTGGTGTACACACTGATTCCTTTCGCTTGGCAGGACACCATGTTGGCGCATACATATGATTTGCGAGCAGAATGGGACACGATGTCAACCGTGAGCGGAACAGCCTGCAGCTTCAGCCCTGGATGTCGCCCGTCAGGGCTCGCCTGCAGGGCAGGGGTCAAAGTTGACGCCCTTGACGTTCGCATTCTGGCCCTGGCCGTTGTCACCGCCGCCCAGGTAGCCCCATCCGCTCTCGGGCAGCTGCAAAGGGGGGCGATACAGAGCACAGGGAGCGCAGTCAGGATAAAACACCCCCACATGGCGTGCCACCCACAATGAAGCTGTGGCGCAAGTCCTCCTGCAGTCAAGCATTAGAAACAGCCTTTTCTTTTCCTGGTCGAATTGACTCTACGACTCCAGGATCCCAGATCGCATTAGCGGGTACCCACCACAAGTTTGACATCAGTCGGCGCCGACAGCTCGTCAGGGATGCGGCTTCCAGTGTCCGAGGCGGCAAACACGCGCGTCACCATCCCCTCATTGTCCAGCACGCCGGTGATCCCGACCTTCCACCCATTGCTGCCCTTGCTGCTGATGCCCGCGAGCATGTTCGGCGCTGCGGCCATTGGGGATGGAGGGTGCGGAGGTGTTCAGTCGGTATGATGGGAGCGGTATTGGGGCGCTCTTTGAAGTCTCTTTTGCCGTTTACATCCCATCTTGTGGCCTGCACAGTCGCTGCACGCCACCGCAAATCACAAGCCTCCGTGCACCCCGTACCCTGCTTGCTCCTCCCCAAGTGCACACAGGACTTGCCGGCAAAGCCGCCGGCTTGGCGGCCCAAATTCACTCTGGCTGCTATTGTCAACCGCCCAGTTTCCTTACTCACCCGTGTAGAAGGCGGTGATGGCGTTGCTCTCCGAGTTTTGGGAGCAGCCGGCGCCGCCCCTCCCGAGGTCGCCCAGCACATACATGTCGACCCGGCACTCCGCCGACACGTTGAGCCCGATCAGCGTCGCGCCGTCCCCGCGGACGTCGCAGTTCTTGAACATGGGGGCGTACTGGGGGGCCGCCTCCGCGCCTGTTGGGTCCTTCTTGGGCCGCACCGCGCTGAAGCCGGCCTCGGGGCTGTACCCCTCCGGCAGCCGCACGCTGTTGCAGGTGAACACGTTGTCGTTGGGGCTGAACCCCTCGGAGCAGTAGGGACGCCCATAGTAGCAGCTCATGCAGCGCGCCGCGCCCTTGTAGGGGGCGTAGCCGTACTGGCAGGGCTTGCAGGTGCGCTGGCCGGGCTTGTCCTGGTAAAAGTTCATCTCGCAGGGCGTGCACAGCGACGCAGCGCTGGTCGCGTAGCTGCCGCGGGGGCACTGCATGCACCTGTCATGGTACCAGAGCGCGCCAGTGCGAGCGTTTTTTTTGTTGTGTAAGAAAGATTACGGGGGGCAGGCAAGCGCTCTGGTGCGCGCATGCGCCAGCCCGCCGCTGCTCTCAAACAGGCGTCAATGGGTGCAGGATACGCCACTCACGCCTCCCGTCGCACCTGTCGCTCAGGGGGTCGTTCGGGGCGGAGATGGCGCCAAGCTTGTAGAGGTAACCCCCGGCGTTGCAGGTAACGTAGGTGTTGGGTTGGTCGGCGGTGTACTGGTAACGCACCGGATCCGCCAGCCACATGCCTGCCGAGTTCTTCACCTTCACAAACCCGCCGGCCGGCGCGATCGCGCAGACAAATCGCCCGGGGCGCCCGGGGATCGGGCGCGCGACGCGGCCGACGAGCGTCGCCGTGCTCAAATCCACGAGGCCGTCGGCGGGGTTCGAATCCAGGTCATAGGCGGGGTTGATGTCGAGCAGGGAGCAGAAGTCGTTGGTGGTGCCGGTGAAGGGGGCAAAGTCGGGGGTGGTGGGGCCGCCGACCTTCTGGATCGCCTGTGAAGTTCGACGGGAACAGGTTTTGGCGGTGGGCCCAAGGGTTTTGGGTTGTGTCAGAGAGCGGTCCGGACAGTAGTGCAGAACTGCAACTGCACGGGTCGCAC